CCATGAGTAATAATGTTATACTGACTCCTGTGTTATTCATCTTTTTGTGCTGGTAGTATGTAGAAATTTGTACCAGGTTTTACGTTTATTACTGAACGTTCAGTTATAGTGCAGAATTTTCAAAATATCACCTTACCTAGAGTCATGAAAACAAATGATTGTTAGTATCTGTGAGGCAGCTTCGGCAATGAAGATAGACTAGTTAAAATAATAGCTATTATATCTAACATACCAACATTAGGAATTTATCGAAACAATCTCAAGACATTTCTCATTAGCGTTATTAAGGGGGATCTAGGTTTTTTTCGTAACCAAAATATATTGTCATTTTTTGAAAATATTTTATTGATAATAAGCAGGTTGAATCTATCGGTTTTTGGTACAAATTACAAGAAATGGTTGGACACTCCGTAAACAATCATAGATTGAACAAGGTTGGATTTCATTCCGGAATAAAGATTTCTTTTTGCTAAATACTTAGTAAACTGAAATAATATTCTAGCTGATGAGTGCCAACTAGTATGAAATACAGGTCAAGGTCTTCCTGTCAATCGTTTCTAACCACTAACCACATTTCTAAATAATGTCAACTGATTAACATTTGTAAGTTAATATCTTGTTTATCTCAAGAGTACCAAAACAAACAATTTGACACCAATTACGAGATTTGTTCTACTTCTGAGTTGTTGAGACAACTGTCTAATCAAGTTGAATACAACTACCTGGATGAATAATTCAATGACTTCAAATAATTTTTAGTGGCCTGAGATCTGACTCCATTTGGATCTTATGATGATTGACTGTTATTGAAATATACATATTCTGGCTCCCCTCGTATATAATCATTGACTTAACTCACATTAGTGTGTAACGGAATTAAAGAAGTCAAATACGAAAATGAATTTCGAATACGTATATTTTGTACAATCACTGATCGGAACAGACAATCAGAGAGACGTGGAGAAGGAAGCGGAGAGAGAGCGAAATGGTGTGCAGTGGAGAAGGTAAGTAAGCCAACTCCATTAAATCAATATTTATAGCCAGATAAAAATAAGCTACAGACATGTGATGAGTAGGATAAGATGTGCATACACATACGCTCATCTAAACAGTCAGAAAAAATAAGCCAATAAGTGACAAGGTCAAAATGTGGTTTAAGAAGAATGAATAGACTGGCTTGTCCTGAAGCTAGAATAAGTTATGTGGGCTTAACATAGTAACCGACATTAGAAATTCATTATCCGATCTTCAATGGCGGTCAAGTTTGGGTGGATTGCACATATGCTAATTCATCACAAAACTTCAGTTTTTTACACTTTAAATCAATAAACTTTTGACTAAATGACATAATTAATAAAACATAAAAACCTTGTTACGGATTAAGTGAATAAATTTAAACGGTGACATTCAGTTCGCTACACAAATAAATCATGTAAAAAGGAGTGAAGTCTACTTAATCCAACTTATTTGGAAAGACTAAAATAATTAGACGTTTAGAAGACATATTTCCGTTAGGGAGGTGAGAAAGACAGATATACTGAATTACTCTGCGGTGGGATAGCATTTTGTAATTTATTCTGTAGCACTTACATTAGACATTTCCTTAGTGAAATCTACTATATGCGTCTTCGTTTTTCTACCTGCTAACAACTTTTTCCAGTATGTTAGGTTATTTCCTTCCTTTATTTTGAACAGGTTTTGTGTATATTTAAGGACAATAATTGTCTTCTGATTAAGAATGGAATACAGCTTCCAATTTCATTGTCTTCAATTAAATATATTTATTATACCTGGATTGTAACTTAACAACGGCATCATCTGACAAACAAGTGTATAAATTTAGACCCATGTTAATGAACTAGTTACATCGTGTAGGAAATCTGAAGATCACTTAAGAGAAATAATGCATATAATTTGACCTAGTAGACATATATTCGTGAACTAAACGTAATGGCTAACGATAATAAGTTTAAATCCAAGTAATATCATATAGAATTGGGATAGTACATAGCACTTTATTTCCTAGGAGTATTCTTGAATTTTCAAATTAACAAACACCTACTTTATTTAACTCCGCCTGGAGTTCCTTCGGGAGCAACTGCCGGTCCAAAGACCGGATAAACGAGGAGGGGCGGGCATGGGGTTAGCGACCCCATCACGTAGAAAACTAACTCGCTAAAAAAACGCTAACCAGAAAAAATTATTCAAACCATTTAAACTCTGCCCTGGGAGTCAGGAGGTCTTCGTTTAGAAGAATTATGACGCCTCATGATGAAAGCCGAGTTCCTTCGGAAGCCACGAGGACGATGCCCCTTCTGACAACCAGAGCAACCATTTATTTAGGTACATGGACTGTTCGTACAACGTGGGAGACTGAGAGTCTTCCAAATTGCTGCAGAAATGAGGGAATACAACATAGAGATGCTTGGGATCAGTGAAACACATTGGACGCAAGTTGGACAACAACGACTAGCTTCAGGGCAGCTGCTGTTATACTCCAGACATGAACAAGAAAATGCCCCACATACACAAGGAGTTGCATTGATGCTGTCCAAACAAGCACAAAATGCACTTATAGGGTGAGAATCTCATGGACCAAGGATCATCAAAGCCTTCTTCAAAACAAAGAAAGAGGGCATTTCAATAAACGTCATCCAATGCTACGCGCCTACCAACGACTACAATGAAGACGCTAAAGATCAATTATATGATAGGCTACAGTCAATCGTCGAGAAGTGCCCAACAAAGGACCTGACCATTTTGATGGGAGATTTAAATGCCAAGGTTGGAATGGACAACACCAGATGTGAAGACATCGTGGGACGACACGGACTGGGAGAAAGGAACGAAAATGGTGAGAGATTTGCAAACCTATGTGCCTTCAATAAACTGGTCATAGGCAGCACTATATTCCCACATAAACGCATACACAAAACCACATGGACTTCACCCGATCACACTACGCAAAACCAAATTGACCATATCTGCATCAACAAAAAGTTCAGGAGGACGATGGAGGATGTGAGAACCAAGAGAGTAGCCGATATAGCATCAGATCATCACTTGCTGGTCGTCAAGATGAAATTGAAACTCAAGAAGCACTGGACAACGGGACGGACAACACCACAAAAGTTCAATACGGTTTTTCTTCGGAATACTGACAAACTCAACAAATTCAAGATAGTCCTCAGCAATAAGATCCAGGCCTTTCATTATCTACTCAATGGAGAGGGAACTACTATGGAGAGCAACTGCAAAGAGATAAAAGAAGCAATCACTTCAACATGTCATGAGGTTCTGGGCCAAAAGAAGCACCATCACAAGGATTGGATCACGGTCGATACACTGGATAAGATTCAAGAAAGGAAGAACAAGAAGGCAGCAATCAATACCAGCCGAACAAGAGCATAGAAAGTCAAGGCACAAGCTGAATACACAGAAGTAAACAAGCAAGTGAAGAGGAGCATCAGAACCGACAAACGTAAATATGTGGAGAATTTGGAAATGACGGCGGAAAAGGCTGCGAGAGAAGGAAACATGAGACAACTGTATGAAACAACAAAGAAACTCTCTGGAAATCACCGCAAACCAGAACGACCAGTGAAAAACAAGGAAGGAAAGATAATCACCAACATTGAAGAACAACGAAACAGGTGGGTAGAACACTTCAAAGAACTCTTGAATCGACCAGCCCCACTGAACCCACCCAACATCGAAGCAGCACTCACCGACCTCCCAATCGATGTTTGCACACCAACAATTGAAGAAATCAGCATGGCTATCAGACAAATCAAGAGTGGCAAAGCAGCAGGACTAGACAGCATTCCAGCAGAGGCACTGAAAGCAGACGTGGCGGCAACTGCAAGGATACTCCAAACCTGGAAAACTACAAAATCCATCATCCAGAAAATACATGTGATTATTAACAATTGTCTACGCAAAATACTTCAGATCCGCTGGCCGGACACTATAAGCAACAACCTACTGTGGGAGAGAACAAACCAGATCCCAGTGGAGGAAGAAATCAGGAAGAAGTGCTGGAAGTGGATAGGACACATATTGAGGAAATCACCGAACTGCGTCACAAGACAAGCCCCCACATGGAATCCCCGAGGTGGAAGGAGGAGAGGAAGAGCAAAGAATACATTACGCCGAGAAACGGAGATAGATATGAGAAAAATGAACAAGAATTGGATGGAACTAGAAAAGAAGTCCCAGGACAGAGTGGGTTGGAGAATGCTGGTCGGCGGCCTATGCTCCATTAGGAGTAACAGGCGTAAGTAAGTAAGTAAGTACATACGAGAAATTAAATGGTGACATATCACATACATATCACAGATTAATTTGAAAAGAAACGATTTAGCAGAACATAACTCACTCATCTAACCCTCCATTTCTATGTAGACTAGCAAAATTAGTCTAGAACGAAACCCAAGAACTTCCATTGGACTGCCCAGTGTATGTTCTTCAGGAAGTTCGTTACACACTATTTGTCAAGAGTTCTACAGAAGACCTATTCCAGTGAATAAATTTAAATCGTTAAATTGAAAGTAGATAGCAGCTTCATTCATAAATTAAGGGACTTCAAAGTCTCGGTTTGAACGAAGTATTTAAAATACTAAAAACTATATGTATCATCTGATTAGCTCACAAAGTTGATCTATGTTGCAAGAGGTAATCAAGGAATGATGTTCAATATTATTGCTTAACGGAAGAGTTTTAGAAAACACACAACTTCTTGATATAGTGATCATTAGTGTATATCACTGAATGGTATGCTTTTATTCCCTCACTATTTATTAAATATCACGCAGCAAGGTGTAGCGTAGGTCCTCAGTTTTACGTCAACTTGCTTTCAATAAATCGTTAATCGAACAATTTATTGGCTTATCAATAGACTTTGCTATGATAAAAGAAATGTATCATCACGTAGAACTACTCAAGTTCTCATCTTAGTCAGATAGTTCATCCTATTTTTTTTATTTTCTCTGTTTCTGTTTCTGTTGTATAGCACACTAAATATTCGTTCGTTATGTTATATAATTCTCACAAACCCTTTTCACAATTCAAACATAAACCACTTTATAAATTATCAGTAGTGTATTATTAAATGGGTTACATTTTTACGAAATATCAATAGTGAACGTTCCTTGCTTTATAGTGTGTACTGCTTTAAAAAATGAACCCATAGGATATGTTTGGAATGAATGGTTCACTCACTGCTTTGCATTACTTCAGTTTCTTAGTTTACCATCTTTGACATTTTAAATACTCAAAAGGTTCTTGTTATAACATAGAATACGAACGTGTGCGTCTGTGGAGCCAAAGAATAATTGACTTTTTTCTCTCATACGTTATACCAGCTGAGAAATGTTTGAAAAAGGTTAGAACTGACTACATTAATAAAATTTTATGTGAATCAACGTTACCTGTCTGAAAGTTAATTTAACACTGGTAAAATTACGAGGAAGTGATTACTGTTTTGCTTGTTCTTAAATGACCTTCTACTGACACAAAATGAGAGAGAAATTTTCTCGACCCTCAATCAACCCTTATCCCTTCGAATACTATTCAGCTCTATAACATATTGGTTCTTCTATCTGATCATTACTATAACATTACTTCAATAGGGAACTCATTCATATAGGAAAATTCAACACATGAATAGTTGTCTATAAACTCAACTTCCAACCGAATAGTCTAAAGGCAACGCGATAGCCAAGATATTGGAAAATCTTGGGCGTAATTTCAAGTTTAATCGTGGGCATGGACAGCTTAAGATTTTTCAACTACAATGAATTATATGTTCAATGATCCTGTGATGCATTCATACTTATTTGATTGATAAGTTGTGGATGAATGTAATGACAGCTTCTGTATCAGTGCATCCAAAAGCTTCATTTGATTTGCATCATTTTGTGCTTGCTGAATTTGTAGAATAGTTTTAAGGTCGTCCAAAGATACAGACATTTTGTTCTGAATCAATCAATATTGAGAAAAAAACTCCGTCGCCACTTTGTTATGACCTTGATTTGTCTACCCACTTTTTGGTGCCGAGGGTACTTGTCTAATCTAGATTAAGACCTTGATGCGATAGGCTGATTGGCTTAACCTTGAGACTTGTACGCGTGAGTTCGAGATGGGGTAGAGAGAAGAAAACTATTCTGTCACCTGATTGGTGGGCAAGCACACGAATGAGAAAAGACAAGACAACTGGAACACTACTCGATCTATTTTCCTGACCACTGGATTCACTGAATTCAGATTAGTGTAAAAAGGTACATGAATAAACAAGTGAATAACCCGACCGCAACGTACAATAATTAGGAAAAATACAATTATGTCCAAAGCTGGGAATTAGAGTAGGAAATAAGGTGCAAAATAACATGTTTAGATTACAAAGGTATGGCAGTGAATGATACATCGAACGAGAGCTTATGTTCTGTAGAATAGATTAGGGACAAAAATAAATGTCAGTGTTTTACAAGCTTTGAATAAAATGAAATAACGTCCCGAAAAATAGCCTTCGTAGTTTGTCAGGGCTTCTTGTTTCCCGGTGCACATCATCTTCCCCCTTGACAAAAAAAATGTTATAACTGCCATTCAACTGAGTGCATAAGTGAAACAAGTTTACGTTGCGATCCGTGTAAGCGTGACTAATTTGACCAACTGGAATAAATGAAAAAAGAAAATGATTAGTCACTATTTACAAGTAATAGTTAAGATATCATCATTGATATCTCCCCTCAGAAACTTATGCTCTTTTCTTTGGGTCCACTTGTAGAATATCTGGTCTTCTACGTTTTCGTAACGATCTCCTAATAGGATCTTGTTCCGGTTGCACAGTTTTGTGAGCCGTTGAACTTCTAATATCGAAACTGTCCAAGAACATTTGCCACATTGAGCTCAGTTTCTCGGTTTTCTGTGCAGTACCAGAATTTTCCAGTATGTGGTTAACATGACGTGTCCACTTTTGACCTTCAACTTCCACCACATACATTACATTTCCTCGTCTCTTAAGTATGCGTCCACTGGTCCATTGTGGAGGTGAGTATCTGAAATCACGGACGTATACTGTTTGGTTATTTTGGAAGATTCTATTTTTCGCCCCATGATGGCGATTAAATTGGATTTCCATCTTTCGGTTTCTCCTTCCTATGAGATTTCACTCTGGTTTTATTGCATCGAGAGCAGTTTTAACTTTTCTGCCAAACATAATTTCTGCTGGAGACATTTGATTTGGTGCTGACGGGTTTGGAGTTGTTCTGTAGACAAAAAGAAAATCATTAAGAATTTCCTTTATCTTTCTCTCCCCTTTTGCCTTCAGTAGCGCTCTCTTGAAGGTATCCACAAACCTTTCGGCTTGACCATTCGATTGTGGATGATATGGAGGTGAACGAACATGTTTGACTCCAAATCTCTTGCAGAAATCTGACAAGATGGACGAAGTAAACTGAGTGCCGTTATCCGACACAAGGATATTTGGGACTCCAAAACGAGAGAATAGCTGCCGTAATTCCATAATAGTGTCTTGCGAAGTGACCTGGTTCATAGGGATAATCTCCGGCCATTTTGAATAAGCATCGACACAAATGAGGAAATATGTACCCTGAAATGGGCCAGCAAAATTAATTTGTACACACGACCAAGGTTTCTTTGGAGATATCTTCGGCATTTGAAAAGGAACAGAAGACTTTGGTGTGGACATAACATTGGCACAAATTACATGAGGTTCTGAAGTTTTACGCGAGCATATTTTGTCTGAGGTATTTGATTTGGAATCATTGTGAGGACATGTTACATCGGAGGTATTAGATTTAACATCATCATGAGAACACATTACATTGGAAGCATTTGATTCAGAAAGATTATGAGAACATGTTTCATCAGAAGCATTTAATTCATGAATATTAAGAGAGCATAATACATCAGAGGCATTTGATTTAGAAATATCTTCAGGAATTCTGATAGACTCAAAGGAAGCATTTTGAGAACGTACCTCATTTAATAATTTATTCAAGGTATCAACCTTCTCAATCCAGTCTAATCCTAATGGATCTAAATCGCGCCAATTTGTAAGATAACAGACATCGGTGAACTTATGTCCCATGAATTTAGCGTTGCATGTGACTTCTCCTGTCAATTTCACTATATCTCCTAAAGCATTACGAGCAACATGTTCTGTTGGTCGGATGCGTGGACATCCTAGCTTACGCCATGTATTTTTGGAGATCAGTGTAACATCGGAAGCCGTGTCCAATTGAAGACGTATGGGTTTTTCATTTACTAATAAGTTTACGTACTTCCGCTTACTTTGAAAACCAACTTTGAAGGTTGCGAACGTGCTTTTAATTTGACTCTGTGGTGGTTGCTTCGCATTTCCACTACGACATTTAGACTTGCGTTTATTCGATGAGCAATGACCTTCTTTATGACCAATGCGATGACATTTGCGGCATTTGTGATTCTTGAACGGACATAGTTTCGCAAAATGCCATGCTCCGCAGAACCAACATGGTGATGGGGGTTTGACAGAAGGTGGTTGTGTGGTTGTAGTGTTCTGTTTGGACGATTTTGAGGATCTGAGAGCATTAATTGAATCAAAATCGAAAGGTTTAGCCTTCTGTTGCACCATCGCGGTATCATGCTTGAGATTTATCAACCGCTGACACTCGGTTGTGACCATTTGTAGTGTCATATTCCGTTCCTGTTCAATGCGTGCTAACATCCTGGTACGGATATCTGCATCTTCTGCATTCTTTAAACCACATGTAAAAATCAAGCATTTGAATTGGTCAGCTGAAATCTCGCTTATTTTGAACAGTTCGCATTCTCGATCTACTTTCCCAGCATATGTGAGATAATCATCATCTGGGGATTTCGATATTTGGAAAAATCGATAGCGAGTATTAAATAATGAAGATTGTTCGCCGAAAATGTCAGATAAAATTTGGACTGTCTCTTTGAAATATAAATCTTGTGGATTTCGTGGTAGGATGAAATTCACATATTTGTTGTATTCACGTGTTCCGAGTCTTCTCAGGAGTAGGCGAACTTTGGCTGCGTCATCAAGATTTGAGCATTCCACACGGAATATGTCTTCACAACGGTGAAACCAGGAATTGAAAATGATACCAGATTCAGGATCATAATGGAATTCACAAATAGAATTTGTGATGCATTCATACTTATTTGATTGATAAGTTGTGGATGAATGTAATGACAGCTTCTGTATCAGTGCATCCAAAAGCTTCATTTGATTTGCATCATTTTGTGCTTGCTGAATTTGTAGAATAGTTTTAAGGTCGTCCAAAGATACAGACATTTTGTTCTGAATCAATCAATATTGAGAAAAAAACTCCGTCGCCACTTTGTTATGACCTTGATTTGTCTACCCACTTTTTGGTGCCGAGGGTACTTGTCTAATCTAGATTAAGACCTTGATGCGATAGGCTGATTGGCTTAACCTTGAGACTTGTACGCGTGAGTTCGAGATGGGGTAGAGAGAAGAAAACTATTCTGTCACCTGATTGGTGGGCAAGCACACGAATGAGAAAAGACAAGACAACTGGAACACTACTCGATCTATTTTCCTGACCACTGGATTCACTGAATTCAGATTAGTGTAAAAAGGTACATGAATAAACAAGTGAATAACCCGACCGCAACGTACAATAATTAGGAAAAATACAATTATGTCCAAAGCTGGGAATTAGAGTAGGAAATAAGGTGCAAAATAACATGTTTAGATTACAAAGGTATGGCAGTGAATGATACATCGAACGAGAGCTTATGTTCTGTAGAATAGATTAGGGACAAAAATAAATGTCAGTGTTTTACAAGCTTTGAATAAAATGAAATAACGTCCCGAAAAATAGCCTTCGTAGTTTGTCAGGGCTTCTTGTTTCCCGGTTCACATCACCACGAAATTATAAAAACGATATATGCGTTGGTGAATTTCATTTAAAAAGCTTATTTTTTAGTATAAACAAAGCTGTAAGTTATGTAAGAAGTTATTTCGTTTAGTTCATTCATTCATTCGTTTGTTTAGATGTTTTTATTCACTTCATATTCATAATACTCTAGTACTCATTTGATTGCATACAGATTACTAAGCCTAATAATATTCAGTATTTCCTGATCATTAGATCTTGACAAGTGATTAGTTGAGTAATACTTTAACAAGCTTATAAGTCGGTACCTTCCTTTTATTTCCGGACAAAAAAACAATCATCTAACTAAATTTTCCATCATTTTCTAGATATTTAATGAATAAAAGCATAGTTAATAACATTTCCTAATCAAAACTAGATACAATATTGAAGAAAAAAAGAACAGATTATTTCATCAAGAACACTTTATGTTTAATGAATTTAAAAACTATTTATGGTAAACATGAACAACAACTATACTGAAACAAGAAAAGTAATATGGTAGAAAAAAATAGGCTAGAATCAATATAGTTTATAAGTTTTATTTTATCTTTTATTTCTATCCTGTATTACATTATGACTAGCATATAGACATGTGTTAAAGTTTACCAAAATCGACGTATGTATCAGGTAAAATTTGTTCTTTTTTTGCACTAGACTTTTATTTTGTTTTTGTATTTTAACATGAATGTAGAGTTCCAAATTTATTGTGTTTGTATCTTGACTTGTGTTATATGGTGATTATTATTTATTGCATTCTCTATTGATTTAATATCAAGGTTATATGATAAAGACAATAATTAAATGTCTAAATAATTAATGTAAAACGTAAAGAGAACATTTTTCCCTTCAAATGCAGAAACAGTAGAAACTCCATATCACTTTACATATAGTAATAAATTTAATATATAGAAATTAATTGAGGATATACGAAGAATATGCTTTTCATAGTTTTAATTTATTTATTTAATTATCGATAAAATATGCGTTCACTGGTTTCCGGTTGTTATTCACCCTTTTCATATCCGCCTCTATTTCCCGACGTAATGTGTTCTTTGGCCTTCCACTTTTCCGCTTCCCTCCACGATTCCAAGTTACCGCTTGCTTTGTGATTCAGCTTGATGATTTGCATAATGTATGTTCTATCCATTTCCATCGTCTTTTCCTAATTCCATCTTCACTTGAAAATTGGTTTGTTCTCTCTCACAGAAAGCTGTTGCTGATGGTATCCGGCCAATGGATGTTGAGTATTTTGCGTAGACAACTATTTATAAATATTTGTACCTTGTTCATGGTGGTTGTAGTAGTTCTCTAAGTTTCAGCTCCATACAGTAGAACTGTCTTGACGTCGGTATTGAAGATTCTGACTTTGATGTTGGTTGACAGTTGTTTTGAGTTCCATATGTTGTTCAATTGAAGGAATGCGACCCTTGCTTTGCCAATCCTCACCTTCACGTCTGCATCTAACCCTACTTGTTCATCGATGATGCTTCCCAGGTACGTGAGGGATTCTACATCTTCTAGAGTTTCGCCATCAAGAGTGATTGGATTGCTGTTTTCCGTGTTGTATTTGAGGATCTTGATCTTCCCCTTTGAGTATGTTGAGGCCTACTGATACATAGGCTGCTATTACGTTAGTTGTCTTCATCTGCATCTATTCGTGTGTATGGGATAGGAGAGCTAGCTCATCTGCGAAGTCCAAATCGTGTAATTGGTTCTGAGCTGTCCATTGTATGCCATGTTTTCCCTCAGATGTCAAGGTTTTTATAATCCAGTCGACCACCAGAAGAAACCGGAAGGGAGAGAGTAGACAGCCTTGTCTTACTCCGGTCCTTACTTGGAATGCATCTGTCAGCTGTCCTCCATGCACTACTTTGCACTGTAGTCCATCGTATGAGTTCCGGGTAATGTTGACAATCTTCTCAGGAACTCCGTAGTGTCGAAGAAGTTTCCATAACGTCCTCCTATCTACACTGTCAAATGCCTTCTCATAATCAATGAAGTTGATATATAGTGACGAGTTTCACTGAAATGATTGTTTGACAGTGATCCGCAGTGTCGCGATTCGGTCTGTGCACGACCGATCCTTACGGAATCCAGCTTGTTGATCTTGAATCTGAGCGTACAATGAGTCTTCCATCCGGTTTAGAAACACTGTTGAAAACTTTTCCTGGTACTGACAGTAGTGTGATGCCTCTGTAGTTCTCACACTTGCTCAGATCTCCGTTCTTTGGAATCTTGATTGGGTGTCCTTCTTTCCAGCCCATCGGCACTTGTTCCTTCTCCCAAATCTTCCTGAATAGAACGTGAAGCACGTTTGTAGCTACTTCGACGTCTGACTTCAGTGCTTCAGCCGGTAAATTTTCACGTCCTGCTGCCTTCCCGCTCTTGATTTGTCTGATGGCCATCCTGATTTCTTCGGTCGTTGGTGGATTGACATCTATAGGAAGATCTGTGTGTGCTGCTTCGACGTCTGGTGGTTACAATAGATCTGGTCTATTCAAGAGTTCCTCAACGTGTTCTTCACATATGTACCTCTGTTCCTGAATCTCTGTGATTGTCTTGCCTTGAATTTCCTTGATCCGTCTATGTGGTTTACTATATTTCCCTGCTAGTTTCTTCGTTGTATCATATAGTTGTTCCATATTCCCTTCTATTGATGCTTTGTACACTGTCCTTGCTAGCTCTTCCACGTATTTCTGCTTGTCCATTCTACTGCTCTTCTTTATTTGCTTGTTTGCTACTGTGTATTCAGCTTATGCTTTGACTTTCTCTATTCTTGTTCCACTGTTGTTAATTGCTGTCTTTTTGTTCTTTCTTTCTTGAATCTTCTCCAGGGTATCCGCAGACATCCATTCCTTATGATGATGCTTCTCGCAGTTCAGAACCTCCTGACACGTTCACGTTAATGCTTCTTTAATCCCCCTCCAATTGTCCTCCATATTAGTTCCTTCTTTTTCCAGTAGATCCTGTAAGGCTTGGGACCTGTTGTTGAGAGTTATCTTGAGTTCGTTGAGTTTGTTAGTATCTCGAAGGAAGGCTGTATTAGACCTTTGTAGTGCTATTTATCCAGTTGTCCAGTTCTTCTTCAGCTCCTCTCTTGGCTCTCACATCTTCCATAGTCCTTTGGAGTTTTTTATTGATGCAAATATGATCTATTTGGTTCCGCGTGGTGTGATCCGGTGAGACCCATGCAGCTTTGTGCATGCGTTTGTGCCTCTTATAACCAATTTGTTGGATGTACATAGATCTGTAAATCTTTCATAATCCTCTTTTCTTTCTCCTAGTTCATGTCGTCCCATGATATATTCTTTCTCGGTGTTGTCCATTCCGACCTTGGGGTTTAGGTTTCTCATCAGGATGCTATGTCCAACTCTCCTCCTTAATCCAAACATGGAAACGACAGTAATATAAGAAGGGATACAGGTGGAGTTATTGTTCTCTCTCTCTCTCTCTCTCTCTCTCTCTCTCTATATATATATATATATATATATATATATATATATATATATATATATATATATATATAATGGTGGAAATATTATTTCTCAGACGAGGACGTCATTTAGGAAAGTATACTACCATGACAAGTCGTAGAAATCTAGTGTAATTTTGTTTGTTTTGTGTGGATTCGTATGACATACAATAACTGACATAGACAATGTAATTATTCTAGAAAACCCTTTTACAAAATGGATCAAAATAATGATAGACAGAAAAACCGAGAAAAGTAAAATTTTATGTTTAGCATTAACGGCTAAACAAAGATTTGAAAATCGAGAATTAACTTATAATCGTAAGGTTATTAACGATCAAAAAATTTCTGCTTGTTTAATAAAACAGATGTGATTTTGATATATGTAATACAAAATGTTTGTGAAAATATTACTTATTGAAATGACACCAGTTTCAATAAAGATGTCATCAATAATTAGTATCAGCTGAAGAACCTGAAGATCAGCATATCCATCATTATGCCTTAAGTTGTAGATACGTATTTCTAAACAGTCATTTACCAAAGTACAACAGGTATCCAGTTATTCTTATTTTCTAGTGTTTATAGCGGTGATTCTAATGCGTGATGATAATATTCAGCCTTTATTAACCTCTAAAAAAAACGCCTTAATTATCATCAGCTGTGATAAAGATTTCACGGTTGATATGAGATATTTACGTTAGTTTAGGTATTCAAATAAAAAACATTGTTTGCACATTATAGTCATATCCCCGTAAATCTACTAGGATTTGAGCTAAATAATTAAGAAAACTGCTCACTAAATCTTCGCAGCATTTGTATTATATTCAACATTTGCAACTCCGAAATATACACTTATATTTCAGGTGGATCATTAATGGTTCATAT